AAGGTCAAGAAGGTCAAGAAGGCCAAGACATTTAACGTGGAGAGAGAACCATTGCATAGCTAATGCTACAACTTCCGGTTTTTCCGGTTTCCCCAAAGCAGCAGCCAATGTAGTACATAGTCTTTTCAGTAAGTCTTCTGGAAACTTGCTTGCAGGTAAATTTGTTTCCACATTTATGAACGGCATTATTTCACACTTACTGCTGCTGACTATTGGACTAGTGTGAGAATGACCCGATAGGGTTCTGCTTCCTTGTGATAAACCGCTTTCTATGATTGGTTGAAAGACAGAGACGCCTATTCACCGAGCTCTGTGATTGGTCAGCGTGCTGAATTCCTTTCACGCCTCTTGAGCCGTCAGCAATAATATGAATGAGATTTAAACAGGTTGAGTTAGTGATTGTTTATCAAAATTAATGTTACTATAGTTGCAATTTTAGAAAACATTGTTTCTATGCTGCATATTAAATCAAATCTTCTGTTCTTTCTTGTTTTTGTAAAGTAAAAAAAGGCTATTGTAAAAAAACAAGTTGTGATGATTCGTCAAAAATGTTTTCCACCGAGAAATATGTTTTAGAAATATTTTTCAGGTATCACCTGATATGTGGGTGCTGGTTTGGGTGCCTCTGAGCTGCTGCTGCTGCCTCCACTGAAAGCACCTGTGATAGCACTGCCCATCACGTGCCCTACGGCCGAGCCGACTGCCACTCCGGCAGCTGTGGTGGCCATCTGGGCCATGAGACCTGGCTGCTTGGGCTGGGCCATGGCAGGGGCCATTGCCATCGGAGGAGGTGGTGGTGCGGGGGCTGGAGCATAGGATGGGGCAGGAGCACTGAGAAGAAAACAAGGTGAAATAAGTTCTAGAATAACCAAGTATAAAACCACTTACGTCACTATAAAATCCCATAAAAGTAGTTACTTAACTTATCTTGGCATATGCCTCGTAAAGAATATACATAGAAAATAGGATATAAAGAAAATATTTTACATTAACCTGAATCAGTATCTCATGATGAAGACTGTTCACACATGAAGACACATGATGTCTTTGAGCTGCTTTTGGCAACTTCAGATGGAAAGAAGATAATGTCTTAAACCTGGTTTACGTCATAGGCTACCAAATGACATATATTATGCATAAATAAATACATTTAAATAAATAAATACTAAGCAGATATTAAGGGTTTTCCACTCCTGGTCAGTAAGAATAACATGTTTTTGGTTTGACCTTCCACCTACTGTTCTGGATGTATTTGAGATACGCAAAAGGAATAAGCAAACAAACAAACATTCAGTCTAATGTTTTTATGAGCAGTCTGGTGTTTTTCTTGAATGATGCTCTTCTAACGTTACCCCTACATTTAGTCAAAGTTAGCTTGCAGCTCGCCAACGCAGTGTGCGTTACAATACTATCAGCCAAGTGTCTGAGATACCTTGCTTGTGCTGGTGAAGGACGACTGCGACTTCCTCTTGCCATTCCAAAAGTAGATCGTAACCGCAATCAATCCCCAATTATTCTTATAAGGTCGCAAACAAGCGCGAAGGTAGTTAGATAAACTCTATCCACGGACAGACTCCTGAATGACAGCCGGTAGACGCACGTGCCTTTGACCTTGTGGTTATACATTTGTGGCGCATGCGCGCGTCAGTGTTCTAGAAAAGAGCATCGATTAAGAAGTTCTTTTTTTTTTGACGTATGCGATTAGTTATTTTTATGTAAATATAGTATGTGTAACCATTCCATTTACCCTTAAGCGTTTGTTAAATTTTCTAAACCACCATGGTAGAACTGTAGAAAATTATATTTTCTTATAAGATGCGTGACGTTCAACATGTGAGAGGATTGGTTGATTTAATGGTATGTAGAATTATTTGTCTTTTTTTTTTTTATCTAAAAGTATGAGACAACAACAAACAAAAAACATAGGCCTACCATTAAAAGCCATGCTTGCACAGGTTCTGCACGATCCTCTTCAATAATATCCTCTGCTTCTCAATCGGGCTCAAACTGATAAGCGATATTAACGACGCCATTGTTTACAATACAACTGGAGCACATGCCGCTAAGGTGAGGGGCGGGACGTTGAGACGCGCACTAGAGGCGGTTTAGCCAATCACAATACACTGGGCTAGCTAACCAATCAGAGCCCATTGCCTATTTCTGAGGGCGGGGCTTCATAAAAGCAGGAAATGATCAGCGCGTTTCTAAGAGAAGGGACAGAGCGGTGTGGAATAAAGGTAAATTATGTGAAAAACAATGCATTTTAAAAAAAAACGAAGCATTAACACGTTAGACTGCACCCCATAAACACAATCAAGCCTAGAAAAAAAAAAAAACAGTGAACCACCCCTTTAAAGGAAGTCTGGACAGTCTTCCTTGGTTTTCCAACAGCTATCTGAAGACATAATTGATTATACATGTGTCTCATTGGCTTTGTTGTGGTTGGTCCCTCTGGTGGTGTCAAAGGGTTAACAAACCCTGGTGTTTATTTTGAGAAAAGTGGTTAAACTCAAAAAAAAGAGGAATAAAGATTTCAAAAGGGCAGTGATGCCATATAGAACAATTTGGTGGTTCATTTTTTTTTTATTTGAAGAACATATCTAAAGAAACTTTGACCACTATTAAGAGCCTTTCAAGGTTCCATGGATGTTAAAAGTTCTCCAATTAACCAAAGATGCTTATAAAGAACTTTTATATAGGTGAAATCCACTCACACAGGGAGTTGGGTTCAGGAGAGTGAGTTCTGGATGAAGGGATGGATGTTTGGATGCTTATCCACAGGATGGTTCTAAAATGTTTTAGAAGGATTGGACAGTTCATGTTTTATGTAAAATTTAACTTGACAGTGCTGAAGCCACGTCTTAAAAAAATAGATGAATGCCTCTCATCGATTTGGAGATCGCTGAGGGTAAATACAGCTGCAGTAGGAGATCATAGGAAAAACATTTTTTAAGAATAAAAGTAACATCTAAGCTTCAAGCTCTCTGAAATTCTTTGAAATACTCAATGCACAAATATAAATTAAAACAAATATAAATACATATCCCTTCAAGGGCAGCTATTGAAAACCATCATCAGCCCATACTTACAAAAACTGCTGCGTATAGCACTTTTTTTCTTGGTTTCCATCCAAAAACGTAGAGCAAAATTAAACAAGGTTCTTTGTTGCATTGACAGAGACAAAGAAGATGGGATATAGATATAGTTTCAGCATTTTCCCCATTCTACTCAGCTGTGATATAGTGACTATATCAAAAACAAAATGAAAAACTGCCAAAAGTTTGAGAAGAAAAATCTAACTCAATAATTTTCAGTGGTCCTATGTTGGTATACAGCAAACAAGCACAAAGATAAAGAATGCTGTTCGAGTCAAAACGAGTTAGTCGAGTGCTGTCTAGGCATTAAAGATGCAATAAATCAGAACTACATTACTATGTATATGCACACACAGACTCCTTTTTTTTTATTACATTTGATAAAATATTAGTAAATTCGTTAAAACTATGAAAAAAACAAAAACAAATGAAAGTATGAGTGAGAATTATGTAGTGACTGAAATGTTAAACAAATCAAAACCTTTATATCTGAGGTTCTTCAAAGTAATAATGTGAAAATTATCAACTTTACATAGGATAATACAAAGTTGTTCCTAAGGTCAATACTTGGCACTGGCACATCACATGGAGTTAAAAAAAATACCATTATCCATTAATTTACAGACATTTCTGTTAACGCTAAAACACAACACAATGCAGTGCAAAATTCAAAATACAAGTAAAACTATTTTTAAAAATCAATATGGTAAAATCAATATGGATAGAAAATTCCCTCATATTAGTACAGTACATTGTCCCTGCTTTTACAGTTTTTTTTAAAGAGTGTGTAGATCTAGGATGTACTGTAAGACCTCTCCTCAAAACTACAACTTCCTTAGTTGACACCCCAGTCTGATACTGTTTCAAGAGATCAGCAAAGGCCCTTTAATTTACAGATGCTTAATTTACAGCAGGCAATTTCCTCAACAATGGACTCAACACTAATGACACCATTCATGCACTTTAACCAGAGGCATCTGAGAAATGTGTCTTCTCATTGTCAGGTGCTTTTAGGTCAGGTGGATAAATCAAGCATGCCACTTGAGCGGTGCCAAATCCAGAACACAGCCTTTGTTTCAACCTCAAAAAAGTCAGTCTGTATTTTACTCAGGAAAACCTTTTGCATTTTGCATCTCCAGTAGTGTTTCTCATCTGATACATTTAACCCTTATGTTCTGTTGAGACAGACTTTAAAGCTTTATGTTTTAATATTAGTAGTTTAAAAATGAACCTATTATACAGTAGTTCACCCAAAATTAAAAATTTGCTGAAAATTTACTCTCCCTCAGGCCATCCAGATGAGTTTGTTTCTTAATTGAAACAGATTTGGAGAAATTTAGCATTACATCACTTGCTAACCAGTGGATCCTCTGCAGTGAATGTGTGCCGTCAGAATGAGTTCAAACAGCTGATAAACAACTCACAATAATCCACAATTAATTCACACTCTAGTCCATTAATAAACATATTGTGAAGCAAAAAGCTGTGTGTTTGTAACGAACAAATTCATCATTAAGACTTGAAACTGTTGCTTTGTGACTAAATACGAGTTCTCTGTTGCTTTCTCCAGTGAAAAAGTTGTCTCTTCTGAATCAGGAGAGAAATAAGCACGGAACAAGCACTATTTGCGTGCAAAAACATTCCAAAACAGTTCTAAACAAATATTTTGGAAGATTTTGATGTGAGCGGACAACAGGGGGTGGACTTTCTTTTTTTTTTTACTGGGGGAGATGTTATGTATTATGGACTCGTATTTTGGCCAGAAGCGGCAGTTTTAAATTAAAACACATTAATGATGGATTTGTTTATTTCAAACACGCAGCTTTTCACTTCACAAGAAGCTAACTGATGGATTGAAGTCATGTTGTGGATTATTGTGATGTTTTTACCAGCTGTTTGAACTCTCATTCTGACGGCACCCATTCACTTCAGAGGATCCATTAGTGAACATGTGATGTAATAATGCTGAATTTCTCCAAATCTGTTTTGATGAAGAAACAAACTTTTTCATATCTTGGATATATATATATATATATATATACTGTACACACACACACACACACATACATATATATATATATACAATT